TGAATTTTGTTTATTTGTATATTTTCTTTAGTTTGATACTTCTTTCTTTTTGAATATATAAGTGATTCCTTATAATTAGATATTCTTCATCTTTTATATTTTTTTACTAATTGTTTATCTTATAGTGAATATTATTATTACAATGTAATCTCACCAAAAAACTTGTTAAGTTGGGCTTGTAAATCAGAAATAATTGAATTGATTTTGAATGTTCATTCAAATTTTTCAATAAATTGAATTATAACTTTAAACAATAATTAACAAAATTCAATACCAAATGATACTAATGCTAAAAATGACAAATCTGAATCTAAAGTCAATAATGAATTTAACAGCAGTTCTGATGACATATTTGAAAATTATTTGGCTTCTAATTATGAAGTTCCATCATATTTTAATAAATTTGCTAATAGCTATTTTATATGAATTTTATTATGGATTATAAACTTTAGAATAAGATTTAATTTGCCAGATATTGCAACAGAAGCACTTATAAAATTCATAAAGTTGGTAGTAATTAAAATTATTGGTAATAAATATAAACTTTTTTGTAAATTATTATACATGATCAAAAAATTACTTGAATTATTAGATCAATTTGTTAATTTTGTAGCATGTCAAAAATGTTACAAATTATATAAACAAGATAATATAATAAGTTTTTAAAAAACTAATTAGCTATTATTAATAAAGTATGTTTATGCTGAATTTCAAAATTCAATAACTTAAAAAAAAAAATTGCAATATTTTATTATCTATACAGTTCAAATTATTAAATAGAAGTATTAACTAGACAATATTAATTTTTTCTTATATAACAATTCAATAGCAATTATTTCAGATGTATCAAAATTCAGATTTTGAATCCAATCTTTAACACTAGGTGAATTGATCAACACTGATGAATTGTTATATAATATTTTTGTAAGAATGGAAATTTTATATTATTTTTTAGTAAAGAAACAACTAATTTGTATTTAGGATTGATATTGAATATTGACTGGTTTTAATTATATAATAACAAAACATATAGTACTGGTGTTATATATACAACTAGAGTTTCTAATGATATTATTTCAGTACTTAGTTCAGAACCCTATATACAGCCATTGCCAATTTACCATGTGATATACACTTTAAGTATGAAAATATACTGATTCTTGACATATTACTAGGTCCCAGTGAACCAAGTTTATATAAAATAAACCTCTATCTTATATCAATTGTTAATTAATTGATGCAACTATGGTAAGAAAAAATATTAGAATTAAAAAACTCTTTCTTGATTAACCCGCATCTGAAAAAAATTATCAAAAATGGAAACAAAAAATTTTTTTGTCAAAAAAAATATAAAGAACCCTGGAAGGTCTTTTTCATCCTCCAAGGGTTAGCCCATCGAACCAATCCACACTCTACTAGACATCCTTATCACTGATATTGACAAAGGTCTCGCCATAATCTTCCACAAAAACAACAGCACAAATATTGTATATATCACCCCTCCCATTGCCAATACTCTCCTTCCAAAATTTGAAAACCCTCTCAAAGCATGGCTAACACCAGTATGTCTCCAAGAAAATGGTCATGAAGTCCTCAAAGTAATCTCAGTTTCCTTTGAAATACACAAAAAAAGGCTTGGAAATCACTATACTGAAGTCAAAACCAGTAATCTAAACCCCATGTCTTTGGAAACAATAAACTCTTTTTTCAAATATCGACACACTTTTTGCCTATTAGACAGTGATAAAGAAGGAATCATAAAAGCACTAATCAAACAGAAACTCACCTATAGGCTTCATGTTTCTTGGAACAAAATTGATATCAACATTGATGAAGCAGCCAAAACCTTCTTCTTGAAGCAAAAAACCGAAATGCCAATATTTCCTTCAAACACTTCTGTCCTAATTGGGGAAAGGATCAATGACAATAGCATGCAGCTTGATTGTGAAGATAAAACAACACATGCAAATACCCCTGAGCACAATATCAATCAGTCCAGCCCTTATGCAGTGCCCTCTGAACACAGCAATGATCAATCCAATACCAGTGCAACATCAAATGAAAATCTTACAGTACAACATATTATTCAAGGCCACAGTATGTCCAGCCACTATCAACCACAAGAACCAGGACAACTAGCCACAACAAACATGGAAATTGATGAACACCCTTTTTCAACCCAATCAATGGAAACCCTGGAATTCTTTCCCACCTCCTGGGCTGACGAAACTAACAAAGTGCTAAAAGCCACTCAAAATATCAATAACACTAGCACTCCTGATATCAGAGATACTAATCAATCCAATGAACAAGAAAAAATTCTAGAACTATGCGAGGAAATCAATAATTGTGATAGAAATGCCAAATTAATTGTCGGCCTCTTCCTTAAAATCAAAAGCAAATCACCAGGCATATCAAGAACCTCTCTTAAAGATATATTCTCCAAAATCAAGCACAGAGACCACGATTTCTTTAAAGCATTTGCAAAAGATGAATTAATCAAGGGCTAACATCAGAAAGAATATGAAAAACTTGAAAAACAGTTCCACATCAACTAATGTCAGGCTAACAATTTGGGGTATATCACCTGAACTAACTGAAACAAGATCAAAAAAATTATTAACAAAGCACTCTTTGTTGCTTATTTCAAATCAACTGACCTCGCACTTCTCAAATACTGGCAAGTAGCCCAGTTATTAGAATACAGATTCAATTTCTTTCTTGACCCCTCTCTCCAGAAAATTGACTATCAGGAACTTTACAAAATATGCAAAGAGCATATCCAAAAAGATCTATCAGTACTCTTTCCAGTTGTCAACACCATAGAAGAATTCAAGAAAGGAGTTCAGCTCTTAAGAGAAAATAATTATGCGATCAAATATCTTCCTTTAGACTATATCAGAGTAAAGCTGCCACTTCCTTCTTCATACTGGTACAGTGAAAATAACTCTATTCTTCTTCCAGTTACCACTCAAGAGGAGGCAGACAATCTCATTGAAGACCTAAAGAATAAATTTCATATAAAACTTCTTCTAGACCCAAAATGGATCAAGAACAACCTTAGCCAATCAAATAAATCCAAGATACCAGATGACTTTACAGTAATTGAAATAGAACTCGACATCACTAAAGAACAACTAAATAGAGACTCTTCAGAATTCAAACAAACAATTACAAAAATTAAAAATAAATACTTTGGAGAGGTTCCTAGAGACTGGATTACACCTTTTCTACCTGATCTGCCAGACATCACAGAAGCCAACAAAATCCTGAAAGACAACAACACCAATCTGTACATTTCACTTACTGATAATCCACAACTGAACAACAACATTAAAATTCTTGGCAACCACTTTCACTTTGAAAAACTTCTACCTGAATATATAATTGAACCTGAGTCACCCGAATTGGTACTGGCTCTTCTCCCTAACCTAATCTAATGACAGATACAACTCAGACCAACTCTCAACACTTCCTAAACAACACACAAACTTTCCTTAAAAATCTTATCAATATTACCACCCTTAACTTCAGAGGCCTTACACAAAGAGGAAAGCTCAATGAACTCATCAGAGCAATGAAAAGTGAAAAAAGCATTTTATGCGCCACAGAAACAAAAGCCTCAATATTTAATCCTTTACCAAAAACATCAAACAACAACACAATTATCTCAAGTCACCCAAGCACTTCAACAACCAATGGTGCATGCATCATCACAACCAGAGCAATAGCCACACATATATTCAAAACTTTTTCAACAAATGAGTACTGGTGCGCAGTACATCTCAAGTTCAAGCTTAAAGTCGATATCATAATAGTATCCTGCTATCTACCACATGTGAGAACAGCAAGAAAGACAGTAGTATCATCACTAAGAAGCTTTATTCAACAGCATCACAAGAAACACATCATAATCACAGGGGATTTCAACTCTTATTCTAAATCAGCCCCCTCAATAAATGCATATTTTCCCTCCTTTAAAAGAAACATATATAGGTATTTTACCAACTTTGTGGATGTCGCAAAGGCCATGAACAAAGAACACTCCTACACACACATAACAACCACTAGCGTTTCAAAAATTGATCAAATCTGGATTACCAAAAATCTCGCCAGCAAAATTCTCTGCTACAAGGTCTCAGAACAACAGGCCATACCAACAAACTATAAACAAATAGACATAGTACTAGACTGGTTCAAATATAAGCCAAGCAGAATATCCTTTTCAACAAAAACTTACCAGTTTTATAAAGTAAGTAAAGAACAGATACAAGGAATACAAGAAGAAGTAGAAATATATTGTACTGCTATGTCCAATCCATTCTGAGAATTACTAAATACAATTATCAAAAATGCCATGAATAATAATATATCAAGAAGAAGTCAAACTATTGCAACAAAGAAGTTGAATCCATTAAAACACTATAAGAACGTGATCAAATCTCTCAAAAAAGCCATTAATCTATATACTATTATTACTCTAGAATATTTCCTATTTTACTTATTTATCTTTATTCTTGTATCTTTGCCAAAGTATTTGTTTTTATGCTAACATATACAGATAACTGTTCTAATGAATATAACACTTTTTTTATACTTTTATTATTTCTATAACTTATAATTATCATATATAAAAATAATATAACTCAAACATATATATAAAGACTCCAATTTTGTCTAGGAATTGACAGGCTTGAACATATTTTTTACTGAATAAATAACTTGACTTTTGCAAAACAAATAACTATTGCTTTTTTCACTTGACCTCATATATCTTAGAACTGTACTAATTTATATGCCTTTAGGAATTTTAGCATATCACATTGGCTCTATTTATCTAAAATGCCTTCCTACTATTAGTTCTTTATCTTTGTCTTTCTTTTGAGATAGAAATGATATATATCAATATATAAGTTTTTAAAAATTTAAATATCATAAGATTAAAATTATAATGTTATATTATTTTAAATTTCAAATTTCAAATATATGTATTTTTTTATTTAAACTTTTTTTTTTAATAATTAGTATATAATTAGCAAATTCAATGAATTTTTTAATAAAATAATAGTAATATAAGTTTAAAGCAATAAAAAATTTTAATTAATTAATTTGATTTTAAGAAATTTGAAAGATTTATTAAAATTTTTCGAAATATTTATAATATGATTAAAATATATAATAATAATTTTTTTCTATATATTTGTAAGAGATTAGAGGTTTCTTTAATTTTACTAACAATATTTTTAAAGGCTTGAGGCATTAAAAAGATTTAATTTAAAATATTCTTTTTATGATTCTTTGTATTATTAGCAGTGAAATTGTTTTAGTAAGGCCTGACGATGTGACGTTTATGTAACGCACCTAATCAGAGTAACGGAAATGCTTTAGAAATAGACCCATGATGTAATGAAAAGTTTAGATAGTTTATTTTATAGTCTGATAGTTTATGAGTTATAAAGTTATAGTCCTATAGAAGATAGTCATAGTGATATAAATAAGAGAGCAAGGATAAAAAAAAGACAATAATAACAACAGAAACTTAATACAAAAAAGTAATAAACGTAATTACTATTTTTGTAGAAGCGCGAAACGGTCATACAAGTGTTAATTACAGTTACTATAAGTGATGGTGTGATAGATGCACCTAAAAAGGAAGTTGGCAATTAACCCCCCCTTATAAAGTAACGTCACTGCGAGAGGACCGTTCTGGTAATCACTAAAAAGAGATAGTGACTTGAACAATTGATGAAAGGTGACAAAGGAAAGAAGAAGGTTAATTATAGGTTCAAGATTGGCTAAGTCAAATCCATACCTTGAGTAGAGAAAAGGAGAACAACCTACCCCGACGTTACGCAAGTTTGACTTGTCCCAAGTGACAGACTCGCTGTTTCACCATCAACAGTATAATTTTTCAATTATTAGTATTTACTTTGAAACTATTATTCAAAACTTTCCATTTTCTTGTTATAGAAGATTAAAACCTTGTTTTTTCAATTTTAAACTCTTTATATGCATGTAAATTTTAAAAAAATCCCCCATCTTAATTATATCTACTGTTTCTAGAATTCTTACTATTATGATGATTCTTGAATAACCTATTCTTGGGATTCGAAATCGCAAAATCACGTGATCGGTATCGATTCTGACCTTCACAGTTCAGACATCTCATTTATTAATTATATAACATTTTTACATTCTTACTTGTTGTCGTGTCGTCATTAGCTAATCACTATTATTACATAATGAAAAACAGGTCGATACTTCAGCTAATATGGATCACGCGACTATCTTCGCTTATTTTTTGTCTCTTGATTGCAACCTTTGTTCACAACTTCACCAGTTCGGATGATATAAGATCAATGATAAAATCCATATGTGGAGTTTTTTCTAACACAATTTTTTTAATAAAATATATGTACTGTATATGTCTAATGCCATGTCTAATACCAACTATCTAAAATAAATAAATAATTTTCTTTAAAACTGTTCTCTAACCAATAATATATCATTTGAAAAACATGAAAAACCAACTGTAGATATCAAAATTTTTCCAAAAAAAAAAAAAATCGACCGCGTGCCAGCAGGGGCGGAAGAACCTTTTTCTCAACTGGAGAGCTCAAAAAACTCGAAAAATTTCGACTCTAAGATGCCGGCACAAAGCATAATCGGATCTTTACTAGCGGTTACGTACTGATTTCGTCATTATGTATTCCCCTTGCAAATAAATAGGATTGGCATACGTATTCCCAAATTTCACTTGCATATCCATTGCATAAGGTTAAGTAGGGGTGGCGATGGAATCATATAATTAACCGGTATCTCATAATAAGACGGTTCAGTTGGATATTTTGCCCGAGTTCTGGGTTAATTTGATTTTCTTTCCGGTCAACAGTTCCAAATTCGTACTAAAAAAAGGAGTCCTTAAATTTGTTTTCGATTCTATGCTAAAATCACATCACAACAACATACCATCGTGGGATTTAACACACCAGCAGCTGTTTGAACATTCCCAGTAATGTAATTTTCTATTTTGTTTCTGACTTTTGCTATGCGCAATCTCCACTATTAAATTCGGTTTCGCTACTGGTCGATATGAGACACCACTTCTTTGCCTGATCTTTGTGATCTTGTTGCTTTATTTAAGATTTTTTGTTAGCAATGAAAAAGTATTCAAAATAAAAAAACAACAACCAAATACTCACTTGTTAATTCTAAATAAAGAGTGCCTTTATGAGTACTCTTCACAGTTGTAATTCCATCATTAATTTCCTGGACGATAGCGCCAGCGCAGTTCTCGTGGAAACCCGAAGGAATTTCAACTACGTTAGCTGCCGTTAACCCATTCCCACCAGTCATGTACTGTATATTATATTTATCCGTTTTTTCAAAATACTATCTTACTTCTTCTCATTTGGCAGAAGTTACCAATATTCCAGCAGTAATTGCGATAGATTTTCAACTTTTTTATTAGTACTCGTATCTTCAGTCTCAGGGTATCTTGAAAGTTGACGGCAATATTTTGAGAGGAGGTAGCAGTGTTTGAAAGGTTGTCATACTTTTCCAAAAATAGAAGAATCGGTGTCATCTCCGTAAATAGTTGCAGTATTGGAAAGAATAAATGTCGCATTACGCAATCAAAAATAATTCTAAAATTTTCCGCATACGTGTTATAAAGTTGTTAACTGATCAAAAACTTTAGGCGCTTGATTATTTCTTAATCATTCCGGATTTTGATTTCCATATCTCAATAAGGAAAATTCCATTAGCTGAACAAAGGCGTCTTTTTTACTGATCGATTTTTTGGCATCTTTATACCAGCTGATGCGATGCTGCGTCCCTTGCATTTTCAACGCAATTTAATATATTCGAAAGAAAGCATCAGATGCATATACTGTAGTCGGAAGTTTGCGATTTTTCTTAGATCACCTTCCGCCTGTTCTTGTTTCAATTTATAGTCTGTATTTTTTTGCTCTAGCTCCTCGACTTTGCCATCATGACAGAAATTCTCTTCAACAATCCGTCTCAATTCCATATTATCAGCCTCGGCAAACTCGGCGTTCTCCTTTCTAAGCTCGGCAATCTCGGCGTTCTCCTTTCTAAGCTCGGCAATCTCGGCGTTCTCCTTTCTAAGCTCGGCAATCTCGGCGTTCTCCTTTCTAAGCTCAGCCATCTCGGCTTCAAGCTTAGAATTCTACCGATGAATCAATTTTGACTGTGCATTTTCCTTTATTTAATACAAAAACTTTTATAGTAATATTTCTTTAATAAAAAAACAGCGTATCAAAATTTAAATAATATAGCTTTTTATTAAAATGTCAATTTTTAATTTTAAAATAATTTATCGGTTAAAAAAATCCCTATTCAATTACAAATTGAGGTATTATTAAAAAATACATCGTCAAATGATTTGCTTATCACAATTGTACAGTATGATGTCGAACTTAAAGATGAGTTGCATTTTTTAATTCATCAAATTTTTTTATTTTCTTTATATACACTGTACATATCTTCTTCTTATTCATATAACAAAAAATCATTGTATAACAATTTTTTATGCTTTTAATATATCGTGCTGTATTTAATTACTGCATCAATTTAATATATGTTGTACCGAAATCAATTCTTATGGTATTTTGATAAAGATTCATTTCGATGATACAATACGTAGTATCATTTATCATTTAAACTTTCAAATTTGCATTCTTTTTATAATTTGTTGTAACGAAAAATAACCGAACGAATATTTTTTTATTTTTAAACTTGGACTGAAAATACAGTATGATTCAGGCTTGACCCGAAATTATTACGTAAGCAGATTATATGACATTTCGGAATCGTTCATCCGTCCGTAAAATACCGTTTATTTATACTGTACGTATACTGTAAGATGGCAAACTCGATCGACGATCATATTGTCACACGATGACTTAATATTTTTCCGCTTTCAGGTGAGTAGTATTAATATGGTATAAAACCGCCACTGTATACATCAAATCATAATTAAATTAATGGGCACAAATTCAGTACAGTATTGTTATCTGAAGCAAAGTTGACTAAATCAATCAATATTGTAAAAACAATCGACGTTGCCGCATTTGATTATTGTATTTTTGATATCGGAATATTTGTTCCATAATTTTAGATAGCCTATAGAATAATTAATTATTACAATTGCTATTTGCCCTTTATTATTTTTTTTTGTTAATGTTTTATATTCCCATCTAATTGATGCGTGGATGCCATTTCTTTTATTTATTTCCAAAAAGAAGTGCATATGCATTATTATCTATTTTTTGTTTGTCCGTACCCATGTACAATGTATTTTATTGTGTAGCGCGGACCAAAGTACGTCATGCATAGTTTTCTTTGAATATTTCCGGTAAAAATGGTAATTATGTAGGCATTGATTGTATTTATTTCCCATGAGAATTGTAAGATCCTGGGCACTTTGGTCAGCGCTATGTGACAATTAATTGTAAAATTTTGCAATAGAATTGATTTTTTTATCAGAAATCACTCACTTTCATTCAAGATATTCCCTTGTTATTGTTGCTAAATCATGTTTTTAAAGTTAGCAACAGTTAATCGTAGGGTTTCGACTCACGCGTTACCAGTAAATTTAAACCAATTTACTATGTTATTCATAATTTGTATTTACTTCCAGTACCTGATGGTTTTGTCATTGCGTGCATTTTTTTTTTAAAAAAGTGGTGAATAATTATAACGTTTTAGAGTCATTTCTGTTGTTTCAGATTCTTTTACATGACTGTTTGAATTAGAACGAGAGAATTCGAATAATCAGAACATAAAATTCCAAACCCCATCGTTTGAAACCACTTGAAGTTTCTTTGTGCGCTTTATTATAATTTAAATTGAAATATTCGCAGTGTACGAAATTTAATGCAATGACCACGAATTAATGAAAATGTCACGAGTCACATTTGCAAATTTAAAGGCTTCTACGTAACCAGGGAGGTTGCCTTCTCCAATATTGCAATGAAACTTTGTAAAACTTATATAATAAGAAAACCAAGGAGCGTTGAATAAGAAAGGATAGTATTGGAAAGTATTGGAATGTGGAATGCGTTTTATGTCATTTCCTTGGCAAGAAATGTCAGTCTCATGAAGCCGGAGTTGTTCTATGTTAGGAATAAAATTTCATTCCAAATTCTTTTATGACTACCATTTGGAAAACTTCATTCAAATGATTCCGTCAGAATTATTACATTTGTTTTTTTATTTAAGTGAGCATGACATCACATTGACGTCGGATTATAGTCCCCGTATTCGTATTCGAATAACAGAGGTGTCTGTTTACATCGAATATCCTTTGATGTTATTGTAAATCCCCGAGACACGGTAACCATTTTGAATGTTTCCTCAAAATATTTTTTGTTTTCTTATTCAGTAATGTCCAATAGGACGTTTGTTAAGGCAGTAATTTACTTTATATAGTCGACTAAAGAATGATAAAATAGGATTATCACAATAGACATGTTTTACTTGGGAGCGGAATAACTGTAATTTAACTCTCGGCATTCCGCAAAACCACAGCTATACATAATGTGGCGTTTTTAATAATACTGGTACTCAGAATTTGAAGGTGACGATTGTTAAAAAAACAAAACAACAAAGGTAATGTATGTTGCTGCAATCATTTCTTTTTAAAAATAACTAATGGTTTCTTTCTTTACCTTTGAATATTTCCAAATCCTCAGATTTTCAGGGAGCACCAATATGTCACTGCCTTTTGCAAAAGGTAAATAAAATTTATGCCATGTATAGAGGTGTTCCGAAGGTCGCACCTTCTGGTGCTTTAAAAAGAAAAAGGAAAGGAAAAGTTTATATCTACAATATATCAACACTCGAATAAAATATCTTTGTCTAAATAAAAACATACTTAAATGCGTAAATTATTTTTATTTAGGTTGCACACAAAGACAATGGCAATATTAATGAAAGATTCTAACTCGAAAAGGAAATTCAAATCTCCATACATGATACTAAATGAGCTATAAGACAAAATGTTTTGGTTCATTCATTCAGGAGTAAAAATTTTCCGAGTTCTCATCTTATTATTCCAAAAAAAAATATTTAAAACACGCTTCTTTAGCTAAAGTTCTCTACAAACCGTTGACCTAAAAATTCATCTCATAACAAATCAAATAATGAGCTCCCTCAAACCCCGACAACCCTACGCAAAAAAAGCCTGCGAATTCTGTCGAGCTTCGAAGACACGATGCTTCATGGTTTCAATCAATAAAGAAGTTAATTCATCAGGAAGCAGTAGTTCCGAAGAAGATGCACACGGTTCAAACAGTAAAGAAAAATTATCCGCCGAAGTATCTAGGTATCAAGGAAACTCGCATGCTGGAAAGTGTATCAGATGTCAAAAACGAAACCTTGAATGTATATATACTAGTGTATCTAAGAAGAGAGGCCCGAAGACCAAAAACTCGAAGATGCTGGTCGAGAATCTTGTGGAACAACAATAACACGTCTCAATGTTTTTATTATGCAAAATATAGAATGTGGTATAAAGAAAATATGATTTTTATATAAAATTTATGAAAATTCGAGAGATTGATTTATCAATTTGTACATTATCTATTTTATTTGTATATTTAACGCCGTTAAATTCATTGATATTACTTATTTAATAAAAATAATCGTTATTTTGTTTATTTTCTATGCACCCACGTTTAAACCTTAAAAAAATGTCATTGATCACATTATATGCGATGGTGTTTATTAATACACATGGACGGCATTTTAATTGCGGGGAATAAAAAATAAATTCTAATTCCCTCTGTTTACTGTATCGTCAGAACTACTCCATTTTAGGTCTAGTATCTTATCAGCAAAGTACGTATAAAATAAAAATCTCCAAAAAGGGTTCTTCCTCTTCATAGCAAGCGGAATAATACCGAGATACTGGATTACCACGCATTCCAGATGATCTCGAAAAACTCCGATATAAATTTATAGGAAATCTTGGCTAAAACCAAACACATACCGTATCGTCGTCTCCTTTTGCAATAATTTTACTTTATTGTATTTTAAGAAATTTTTTTCAGGGAATCTTTGATGTTCAAAAAAAATAATAATGATAAACGTTTGTGCGTCGTCACGTGACAAAATTTCATCACCTGATGTACAGTACACAATTATTCCGCTTGATTTCCGAGACTGGTTATTTAAGAATGAAATATTCGGTTCTATAATCAAAATTCCCGGTATACAATATAACAAAAAACACCAAGATTTTTATTTCAAGATAATCAAGTAAGCATTAATACATCCGATATTGACAAATATTTATTTCTCGTTTATTATGAAATTGTAATTCGTTTATTCTCGCTTGTTTATCATAAATACAGTATCTAATTAAAAAAATAACTCCGCGGATTTTTGATTTCAAATTTTAATTTGATATCAACTTTGCGTATCACATCCTTTTCTCTTTCTCTTAATTAATGGAAAATTGTATTTTTGGTAGTAGCTATTGACACCTCATGCGTAACCTTTCACGTAGTGATTGAATCATGATCAAAATAACTATCGATATTGCATGAAAGCATAAAAGCAATTCCGTAGTTTTACAAAATTAATCGGAAATAAAATCCGTAAAGGAATAAACCATCCGCTTGGAAAATTTTTACCGCACAACTTTCCATCTGCATCAACATTTTTCTTTAAATTGTTGTTTAACGAATGATTAAGGGGCTGATCCTCCAAAAAATTGATTTTTGATCACAACCCAAAGAGAAAGAATGATAGAACTTAATATTTTGTTGAAAGCACCATTCTTATGCTTAGCTTGTTGTCAAAACAATTATGAAACGCGAGTATTATAAAAGTAACGTTTTTTTTACGGAATTCTTATTAACTCGTAAGAAGGTTACACGTGCATAGTACGACAGGGGTATCATATTCATTACTGCAATGAGAAGAAATTGTGAAACATGAATTACTTGTTCAAAAATATACTACATACGTGGCACAAAAAGAGTTGTTTGTCCCTTCCAATAATTTGCAAAACTCTTTATCACGATAACCTAAAATTATAATCCGGAAGCTTCTTTTTTTCTATTCATATGCACTTCAATGAATAGAAATAAGAACATATCATATCCTATTTTTCTTCCATTCGGAACATGAATATCGTAATGTCAAAAAAAAAAAATACTTTTTTATACTGTTCATCATATCATCTCATTTTCTGGAAAGAAACCGGCATAACCCCCTGATAAGAAGGAAGTCGAACAAAGAAAAAGTAAAATGAATAATCCAAATTGCTGTATTTAAATTTTCTAGAACTCTTTGTCGTCATACAATATCCAAAATCAAGACATTTAATGATTAACAGGTTATCATGTGACAGTCTAAAAAAGCTGTTTATTAAATTCTCTCGTTTGCAATTACAGCGTATTGAACCACCTCATGATTTATCAAGAGGTGCTTCATAGCCTCTTTGTTTAAATAAAGCTGATATGTGCTGACCTTCTTGCACATTATGCCATATTTGGTCTAAATAGCAAAAAGTTCATCAATGAAGAATTAATATGACCGAAATTATTCCGTTATCGATCACGATATTGTCATGGGGAGTCACGAAGAGTCATTGCTAAAATGCGCAACGTGTCACTATTTATCACAAGATCAAATACTCGTTTTATCGAGAGAAGACGTGCTAACGAATTTACTGAATGCAATTTACAATTACAGTATTTGTACATCCCAATTGGTTAACAAATGGCGAGGATTTAACTTTATTACCAATAGGTGCTGCTTTATTTACTAGGTTTTGCAAGTACTAAAAAAGAATCGTCGTTACACAGTACCGGTTACAAGTTAAACCAGTATTCCAAAAATGTTGTACGTACATATGAAACCGAAATGATCAACAGGACACTCAAATGTAATACTGTACATCAGTGTGATGCATATTTTTCATCGCTTATGCAAGTACTGTAAGAATATTTTGTAACAAACAAGATATACTGTATAGGTCTATCAAAATTCGTTAAAAATTCACAAATATAATTATCATAAAACAAAAACTAGTTAAATATAGGAAAAGGTTGGTTGTAGCTATAAAAAAATTTCCACAAGTTCAGAGAAAAATAATATCAACCATTTTTTAAATGATTAATTTTATAAATTCATCGTTCTTTTTTTTAAATATAAAGTATAACAAATGCATTGAATTTACGTGTTATTTGCATGAACCCATAGCATTATTGAGATATCATCTTATTTAAGCAATGCACAACCAATTTTTCTCTCTCGTTTTATTTTCATAATTTAAAACCTCAATATGCCAATAAATAAATCCATGGTCAATTGTATATTTACAAAATATTGCTTTATGCATTTATTATATATGCTATTAAAAATATTATAACAAATTAACCACGCACTTGTTCTTAAATATTCATAAATATGTCATTTATGGTGTTTATATTATGTTGTAAATATACAAATCTATATCGTAATAGTAATGCTGTATAAAAATATATGATTTAAACCTAACTAATTACAATATAATATTACTTTAATATATTAATTTGCAGATTTTTAATATATTGGCTTACGGGTTTTCAATGTAATGTATATAGTATTCAATTAATCAAATTAATATTCAAGCTAATAAATTATATAAAAACAAAATCCTAAATATTTTTTTAAATTAAAACTAAAACAATTTTGTTATAACAGATTATATAAGATTTTAATTTAATTATAAGTGTTTTAACAATTTCAATTTTATAATATAATACAGTACAATGCTATACTTATAAACTTAAAATAGAAATTCAAAAAAAAACAAGATTAATGGCTATAAATAATGATAATAATAAATAATTGTTATGAAATTAAATAAATTTTATAAAAATTATAAATAAAAGCATTCTAATTTCAAATACAAAAATATTTTATTATATTAAAAAAAACTATTTAAATAAATAACAAATAGATTAAATAAAATTATTTAAATTGATTTTATAATGATATTTTATAAAAAAAAATTTTAATTATATAATTAAAATTAAATTCAATAGAATAAATAATTTGATTGGCAATTAAATTTTTATTTTTTAAATAAATATAATTTACTGTTAATTAATAATTACAGTATTAAAAGAGATTATTAATTTTTAGATAAATAATATTTGATAACAATATATTAAATCTTGTAGATTACTATAATCATTATTTTTTTTAAAAAAAAATACAATTTTAAAAACATTTGAATAAAGTAATTTAAATTATAAAAAAATTTTATAAAATCAATTTTTTAATCTTATATTTTAAAAAACTGTTTTGATAATATTAAATATTTGAAATAAAATTAATTTTTAATTTAAAAATTTACTTTTGCTTATTTATATTAAAAAATTAATAAAAAATCAATATATTATGATTAATATAATAAAATTATTAGATATATTATTAAGAAAATATTTAAAATAATTTAAAAATACAGTAATATTATATTAATATTTTTTTAAAAAACTTATATTTCATAAGTAAATTCATATACTAATAGAAATTTAAGAATATAAAAATTCTGCTATTAGTTTTAAATAACTTAATTTTAATTTTTAATAAAATGTAAAAAATAATAATATATTAAATAAGTTTTATCCAAACTTATTATTATTTTATATTTTTAATTTATACAATTATAATACTTATTATCTTATTAATACTTTTTAATAAATACTTTAAAAAAATTCTTTGATTAATATAAATTATTAAATTATAAAATTAATTAATCAAATAAAATATAACTTCTAAATTTTTAATAAATCTTTTAAAGATTTTTAATTAGTATAGACTTTCAAATCTAGAATATAAATATTAAGTAGTATACTATACAATTTCTGTTTAATTACAAGTTAATACAACTTAATCAAAGAAATTTTCAGCATTTTTCAATTATAGGAAAAAATTTCATGAGCTATTTATTTTTCATCAAATTCTTTACTTTCTTTTCAACTTTCTGATATCAGTTATTTTTTTTTCTTTTTTATCCAAGCTTTCAAAAATGATATTATCATTAATAAAACCAAAGTTATTTTATCTACTTCAAGTATAACTACAATTAATATTCTTCTAGTAAATCATAATATTATTTAATAGTATTCAATTTCATCAATAATCAAAATTAGAAACAATTAAAATATCTTTTGACAGGTCCCTGATAGTTTAAAAAAAATGGCCAAAACTAATTATATATTTATAATTTCAAGAATTATCAGTTAAGTACTTAAAAATCAGTTCACTTTCAATTAGCCAAGCTCAAGTTTAAATCAATAATAAATGAAATTTTATATTAAATATTCATTATTTACTATATTTTTCTAAAATAAATAATATCAATTTGGACAACAGTGCTATATGATTTAAGAAATTTTTAAAAATTATAAAGATCTATATGATTTGCAAAAGTTTATCTATAACCAAAACCTTTTAAAAAACTCCAAAT